AAAAAATCAAGCATAATCGACATTTTTCAACAGAAACTAGATTCAAATTGTTCTCGTTAACTGAAATTAATTATAATGACCAAATAAATACACTTCCAAATTACTAACGTGGAATCACTCGGCAATAAACTCTCGAATATATGGACACGTAAGTGTATATATGCCTCACTCAATTTCACCATATCAGTAAAAATAGGAACGCTCAAATCGGTCGGAATCCACAGTTAACTATATGCTTGCCTGTCATCTAATGTCTACTCAAATGTAATAAAAAAATTACAAGTTATGAATTATAGGGTCTTTACGGGTTGTAATGTAGGCTCTTTGGACAAGGTGAGATACAATATGGTTAAGTGACTCAATATCTCTTCCCCAACCATAACAATCTTTTCCGGTTTTTAATTACCGGACCTCAACAACTTATCCAAAAGTTACAACTCCAATCCCCAAATGATGTAAATGATTGAATATTTTTATTTTATATATATATATATATATATTTATATATATATATATATTTTTTTTTTTTCGAGAGAACAATTTTTCCAAACGCGAATATTTATACCGAAAATATACTTCTCGTATTCTCGCGATCTCTTCAATAAATAGTTTTTTTTTTTTTTTATTTATTTTATTTTTTTTATAAATATTCAATCACATACCTCAGCAGTTAATTCCAACCGCAATCTCGTCCAGTATATGAACATCAACTCCAACAGCTTCCCAATAACACCAAGGTTACAAGAAAAATATTAATAAGGCTCAAACTTGGGCTACTAGGGAAATTGTTATCAGGACAAGAAAAACGAATAAAAGGGATATACAAAAACTGCCCTAATCATTTTCACAACAAATAATTCCCAATTTCCATCATTTCAACATAGTCTCAAGGCAAGTTCTAATAACATATGAATTTGACCGATATCCCTCAAGAAAATAAGGCACAAATCTCACACTGTAATGTTATTACAAAATGTTCCACGTAGTTCAAAGGTCATGCAATTTTTAGTCACCATTTCAACATCTCGAGTCAATTTAAACAGTTATCAACTAATCCCGATGATTATCTGTCAAATCATACTTGAAAAATTAAACCTAAGCCGGTCCAAATAAAAGAAAAACACATAGACAAAAATTCAATCATGCAGACAACCCCCCCACACTTACAACCGACAATGTCCCCATTGTCAATTTGCAGGTGGATTACAGTTTTTATAATTGAAAAGAAAAACAAAATGGAAACTAAAAGAAGTAAAAGAAAACATACTGAACACAGTGAAAAATCACTGTGTGTCCGGTGGTGGTGGTGGATCGGTATCAGCTCGGCCGGCTTGGCAGTACTGGATGTGCGCTCAGTGGTTTTGGTCCGTCGGTTCCGAAATTCCAATTTTTTTTTTTTTTTATTATTATTATTATTTTTTTATATTTTTTTTATAATTATTATAGAAAAACAACACACTTATATAAAAAAAACTGACCTCTACAATACTAGCCGCAAAGAGGTCATAGAAATCGGCTAGGGTGTACTATTAGTACGGTGCACCAGCGAACACTTAAGGCGTTGAAATACCTGATGGTCTTTTAGAGCCAGATTCCAAGGCTTTGACACGCTCGAGATCCTCTCGTATTGTGTAAGCTAGGTCGGAGTTCTTGCGCGGTGGTCCGTCGGACTGTATCCTAAAGGGTCCCACGCGTATTAGCTCCGCATGGTCGCTACTGCTACGAGTCGGAAATGTTGCGCATCGGTGATCGGTTGTGTGGAGGAAAGCTCCGCAATGTAGGCAGCGATTATAACGTCTAGCACGACGCCTTTGTGCTTTCCTACTGGTTCCTCCGAAAGGACGGTTGATTGGTTGTTCATGAGTGATGCACTCGCAGATGCGTCGAATGATGTCGGGCGGTAGCGAAGGTTTGGCTAGGTGCAACAGAATCAGTGTCTTGAGAGCTACTTTAGGCATGATCGGTTGAATGTGTGCAGAGATTTTGAGAGTGATGGCGATGGCTTCCTTCGTCGTGGAATGAGATGTTTAAGGCTGTAGAAATCGGACCAGACTTTTTTTTTTTTTTTTTTTTAATGAAAATAGTAAAAATCGTGGGTTGCCTCCCACGCAGCGCTCGGTTTAACGCCATGAGCTTGGCGTGGATACTCTTGTCAGATGTACGTAGGTTCATCGAGACAAATTGCCTCGACATGTTGGTTCCGGTATTCTTCTCCAAAATATGGTTTGACTCTTTGGCCATTGACAGTGAAAACATCTCCATTAGCCGGGTTAAGAAGCCGAACGGCTCCCAATGAAAGTACTTTGTCGATTATGTATGGGCCGGTCCACCTGGATTTCAGTTTGCCAGGAAACAGGCGAAGGCGAGAATTAAACAAAAGTACCTTCATACCGGAGGTCAGGTCTTTCCGGACTATGGTGGAATCGTGAATCTTCTTGGCCTTGTCTTTGTAAATCTTGGAGTTTTCGTAGGCCTCGTCTCTCCATTCTTCAAGCTCGGACAATTGCAACATTCTTTCTTTTCCGGCGGTATCGAGGGCAAAGTTGATTTGCTTTATTGCCCAAAATGCCTTGTGCTCGATTTCTACCGGAAGATGGCATGACTTCCCAAAAACGAGCCGGAACGGGCTCATTCCCAGCACTCCTTTGTAAGCGGTACGTTGTGCCCAGAGTGCGTCATTGAGCTTGTTTGCCCAATCTGTTCTGGCTACGCCCACAATCTTCTCCAGAATCGTCTTGATTTGTTTATTGCTCGTCTCAGCTTGTCCAGACGTCTGGGGATGATATGGAGTAGCTACTTTATGAGAAATTCTGTACTTCGTCAATAGTCTTCCGAATAGTTTGTTGCAAAAGTGTTTTCCTCCGTCACTAATGATAGCACGAGGGAAACCAAACCTGCTAAAAATATTACTCTGCACAAACTTGATAACCGAATAAGCATCACATGTCCGTGTGGGGATAGCCTCGACCCACTTAGACACATAATCTACACCGAGAAGTATATACTCATAACCTAAAGACTTGGGAAATGGTCCCATGAAATCAATGCCCCAAACGTCAAAAATTTCAAGAGGAATATTATTTACAAGAGGCATTTCATTCCTAGAACTGATGTTCCCAGTCCTTTGACAACGATCACAAGTTCGACAGAATATATAAGAATCTCTAAACAGCGTAGGCCAATACAAACCAGACTGAAGAACCTTAAATGCTGTTTTCTGACTCCCAAAATGTCCTCCACCTGGCATTTCATGACAAAAGATCAAGACATCATTTTGCTCATTTTCAGGAACACACCTCCGGAGAATGTCGTCATTGCCCAATTTGAACAGGTAAGGGTCGTCCCAGTAGAATTTCCTGCACTTCCATTTAAAACGTTTTCTCTCTTGGGAAGAGAGGTTAGGCAGCAAAATTCCACAAGACAGGTAATTAACTATATCCGCATAACAAGGACTTTTCTCAACTTCAAACACATGCTCATAAGGAAAATTATCACGAATATTATTGTGTTCAAAAGATGAAGATAGAACATCAGATGGTACGATGCGAGATAAATGATCAGCTACCACATTTTCCGACCCTTTCCTATCACGTATTTCTACGTTAAACTCTTGTAACAACAAAATCCACCGAATTATTCTTGGTTTAGATTGCATTTTACTCAATAAGTACCTTAAAGCAGCGTGGTCTGAATGCATAATAACTTTAGAACCTAAAATGTAGGATCTAAATTTTTCAAGAGAGAATACGACTGCTAAAAGTTCCTTTTCAGTGGTTGTGTAGTTAAGTTGGGCTCCACCAAGGGTTAAACTAGCATAATAAATTACATGAAGTAATTTATCAACTCGTTGACCCAAAACGGCCCCGACTGCATGATTTGACGCATCACACATGATTTCAAAAGGCAAAGACCAATCAGGAGCAACTACAATAGGTGCAGTCACAAGCTTATTTTTCAAAGTATTGAAAGCATTTAAACATGCCTCATTAAAGACAAAAGGCACATCCTGAGAAAGCAAGTGACACAAAGGCTGGCTTATTTTGGAAAAGTCTTTTATAAATCTCCGGTAAAAACCAGCATGACCTAAAAAACTCCTGATACCTTTTACATTTATCGGAGGTGGTAATTTTTCAATGACATCAACTTTAGCTTTATCAACTTCAATTCCTTTATGAGACACCACATGACCAAGTACGACTCCACTTTTTACCATGAAATGACTCTTTTCCCAACTTAAAGTTAGGTTCGTTTCTATGCATCTTTCAAGGACACAAGATAAATTGTGGAGACAGTTATTAAATGAATTACCGAAAACGGAAAATTCATCCATAAATACCTCCAAGCAGTTCTCAAGCATGTCGGAAAAAATAGAGAGCATACACCTTTGAAAGGTGCCTGGAGCATTGCATAGGCCAAAGGCATACGCCTGAAAGCGAAAGTACCGTATGGGCATGTGAAAGTCGTCTTTGGTTGATCTTCGGGAGCAATGGCCACTTGGTAATAGCCAGAAAGGCTATCAAGGAAGCAATAGAACTGTTGCCCGGATAGTCGGTCAAGAATTTGATCAATGAAGGGCAACGGAAATGATCCTTCTTTGTTACGGCGTTTAACCGCCGATAGTCGATACACATGCGCCACCCGGTTGTTATCCGAGTGGGTACCAACTCTTTTTTATCATTTTCGATGACAGTGATTCCGCCTTTCTTCGGAACCACATGGATCGGACTTACCCATTTGCTGTCTGCAACGGGATAGATCAGTCCTTCCGTGTATAGCTTAATGATTTCTTTCTTGACTACCTCGCTCATGTTTGGGTTAAGCCGGCGTTGGCTATCCTGGAAAGGTTTGGCTCCTTCTTCTAGAACAATCCGGTGCAGACAAGTTGCCGGACTAATTCCCTTTATATCTGCAAGGCTCCATCCGATCGCCTTTTGTTTTCTTTTCAGAACTTCAACTAACTCCTCCTCCTGTTCTTCTGTGAGTTCTGCACAAATGATTACGGGCTTTTTCTCCTGGTCATCAAGAAACACGTACTTTAGGTGATTAGGCAACTCCTTCAGTTCCGGATTGGGAGGATTTTGTGACTCTTGCTTAATTGCAAAGAGTTCTACAATCGGCAGCTCTTCTTCCTTAAGGTCGGTCATACTCTGTTCTTCAAAATCATGCATCACCATTTCTTCAACGGTTGAACAGACGTCATCGTAAAAGGCACACTCTTCAGTATAGTTAAATGAGGGGGCTAGTTGGGCTTCACGAACGGAAATGGACACAGATTCTCCCAGAACCGACATGCTCAACGTTCCGTTCTTCACATCGATCAATGTGTTGGTCGTAGCCATAAATGGTCTTCCCAACAGGATAGTGTGATCCTTCCCGTTCTCTTGAACGTCCCCAACATCAAGGACAACAAAATCCACTGGGACAATAAGTTGTCCCACTCGAACAAGGACATCTTCCACGACTCCTTTTGGGAATCGAGTTGATCGATCTGCAAGCTGCAGACACATCCGTGTAGGCCTTAAATCACCAAGGCCAAGCTTTTTAAAAATGAAAAATGGCATTAGATTAATGCCGGCTCCCAAGTCAAGCATTCCTGAGGCTTCTTTCCCATTCCCGAGGGCTATTTTGATGACAAAACCCCCAGGATCGAGCTCCTTCTTTGGTAAGTCATATTGCATTGCGCTCGAAGCCTCGTAAACCACCACCTTCTCACCATCGCCGAACCTCCTCTTTTTCGTCACCAAGTCCTTAAAGAACTTGACGTACGCTGGCATGGTCCTGATTACTTCCAAAAGGGGAAGGTTTACGTTCACTTTGGACAGCATGTTGTAGAGGTCCCGGAATTGCTCTTCCTGTTTGTCATCTCGAAGACGGCCAGGAAAAGGAATTCGTGGCTTGTAAGGATTAGCAGATTTGTGGAGGACAGGTGCCTCCTTTTCTTTATCATCTTCTTTCGTCTTGTCGGGTTCGTCGGCTGGTGATTGTGTTTGTGGTTGGTTTGTTGATTGTATTGGTGGTTGTGCTGGTGGTTGTGTTGGTGGAACTGGATTGCCTACATTGTTATCGATCTCTCTTCCACTTCGCAGAACAGTTATGGCCTTAACTTGTGTTGGTTGGCTTGGTAGCTTCCCCTTTTCAACCTCAGCTTCAAGAGTAGAAAACCTAGTGGCCAGTTGGCCCACTTGGGTTTCAAGATGTTTATGAGCGGCAGCTTGATTGGTCATGAAGCTAAAAATTTTGTCTAGCCTCTCTTCTACGCTGGGCGAACTTGGGTTGGCCATCGGTGCTTGTGGCGGCACTGGCGGACGAGGAGGGTATAGAGCCCTCATCGGTTGCTGTTGTGGAACGAAGTTTGGTCTCGGTTGTTGCTGCTGGTAGTTGGTAGGAGGACTCTGAGTGTTGTTGTTGTTGGCCCAAGAGAAACTTGGGTGATTTCGCCACCCCGGGTTGTAAGTGTTTGAATATGGGTTGTTGATCGGTCGGTTCTGGTACCCTTGTAATGCATTGGCGTCCATCGTCTGTTGTCCAGCATTTTGATCAAACGCCAAAGGACAGACTTCGGGTCCGTGTCCCTGGGTACCGCAAGCACCACATACATCCACAGCCATTGCTTGAACTGGTTGGACACTTCTTGAACTCAACAGTCTCATCTGCTCAGCAATCTCAGCAATTTGCTGAGCCATGGCACTGTGTCTGATGGATATTTCGTCCACCGACAACTTCTTTCCACGAACACTCTTCTGAGACGACTTACTGCTTATCATCTCAAAGATCTCGAGCATTTCTTCTGCATTACATTCCCCAACGTCACCCCCTGCTGCATTGTCCGCCATGTATTGGAGTTGTTGATTTAGGGAGTCGTAAAAACTCTTCATCAACAGTCCCGCTGGAAGGTTGTGATGCAGGCACTGTCTTTGGAGATCTTTGAATCGCTCCCATGCTTCATGCATGGCCTCGTATGGTTGTTGGGTGAAATAAACAAGCTGAGATCGGTAGTCCTGCGTCTTCTGATGGGAATAGTATTTCCCAACAAACTTGGAATAAACTCCGGCCCATGTTGTAAGAGAGGCAGGGGCCAGAGTCATAAACCAAGCCTTTGCTCGATCCTTCAGTGTTTCTGGGAAACACCGTAGCTTCAGCTCGTCTTCGGTCAGGCCGTGGAGAGGGAAAGTGTGGAGAACGTTGTAGAACTCCCGGATAAAGTGTAATAGATCCTCTTCGGCATGCCCGTGGAATGATGGCAGTTGATTGAAATGAAGCATCTTTAACTCATAATTCCTGGCAGCTGGACTCAACCGGATACAATATGTAACCGGGCCGATTTCGGGATAGCCCAAGTCTTTAAGAACATTCCTAGGTGGAACGTTCTCGCCTTGTTCTTCGTGCTGTGCCATCTTGTCCTGATCACTTGACTGGGCGCTTGTCGGATTAAATACAAGTCCACTCCTGGTCTGCATAAACAAAGACAAGAACCCGTTACGAGCACCAGATTAAAAATAAAAAGAAAATAACTTGAAGAACTAAAAGAAATAAATATATATATTTATATATAATTTTTTTTTTTTAATTGAAAGAAAATTGACGATACACAATATAAATCTTTAACCAGTCCCCGGCAACGGCGCCAAATTTGTTGTAGCAAATTTTGTTTTATATTTTTCCGAGCACCGAGTTAAAAACTCGTTTCCCGGGTCGATCTCAAGGACTGGTCAATCGAACTATATTATGTGTAATTCAATTTCTTTTATATATATAATAATGCAGAAAATTAATCCAGATTTTTGCTTGATTACAACTAGAAATTTACATAACATTACAGAAACAGAAGAAAGACATTAAATAACAGAAAGTCAACTGGAAAAGCAAAACAGTAAATAACAGAAATAATTTACAATAGTAGTAATAATAGTAATAATAATATTAATAATAATAGTAATAATAATAATAATAATAATAATAGTAGTAATAATAGTATATAAACAGAAAGTAAATTGCAGAAAGTAAAGTGCAGAAAGTAAAGTGCAGAAAGTAAATTACAGTAATAATAGTAATAATAATACTAATAATAATAATAATAATATTTCTATATATATATATATGTGATAAGTAATTGGCAGGGAGTAAAGTGCGTAAAGTAAATAAAGCAATAAAATTACAACAGTAGAAATAAGCAATAACATTAAGCAATAATAGTTAATATTTATAACATATATATATATATATATATATATATAAATAAGTATCCACAACTATTATTATTGTAGTAATAATATTCATAATCATTCCTTTAGGAACAATAAGAATAATTACGACTGCAATAACAATAATCGGAATATAAATTTATAACGTCTTAACGGAACGGAATTTACAGAATAACACTCGGATTTTAACTGGATAAACACTCGAATTTTAACTCACAACATAAAATAAAATTACACACACAAGTGTTTCAAGTACCAAATGAAAATAAAAACAAGAACAAGAACATCAAGAACACTAGAAAGTGTTTGTACTAATTCTAATATTTGTATCTAAGAACTCAAGCTAAAACTTCCTTTCCGAACTCTCCCTTAAGACCTCTCACAAATGATGTATTTATACTAGTTCAAGAGGGGACAAAATCACATCAAAATCATCTTAAGATCATTATGTATTAATGGCTAGCATATCTATCAAAAATCAGCCCAAAATCTTCCAAAATCCGCCCAACATCCATGTTTGAAAAGTGGGCGCCGCCCATGTTGAACAAGACTTGGCAGCTTGCGCGGTTTTACGGTTTTGGCTCGTACGGGCTCGTCCGGACTCGGAATTGAGTTCCGTTTTCTCCTACGCGTAGCTAACGAACCCCTCTTCAATTCAATGTCATATACTGGCCATAATTAGTTACAAAAGTTGCCCCAAAGTTATGCTGAAAAGTGGCCGCGGCGCGAGGCTTGGGCAACTTGCGCGGCTTTACGGTTCTTTCTCGTTTGGGATCATTCGGACTCGAAATTTAGTTCCGTTTTCTCCTACGCGTTACTAACGAGCTCTTCTTTCCAGCTATGCTCAAAAGAGCAATTTATCTTGTAACTCAAATCTTCACGGGGCTCGATACCAATGCGTCGGAAACGATAACTCTCGAAAATCCAGACTTATTATACCTGAAATTACCCCAAAAACCGGAAAAACACAAAAACACACGAAAATACACGAAAACACACGAAAAACCACAAAATACACAATAAATACTAGAACAACAAAAATAACCGAAAACAACTAAATGGACCGAAAGACCTTCTAAAAGACCTAAAAATGAGGGAAAATAAATGTAAAATAACAGTAAAAAAACGTAACAAAAATAATCACAACAGTAATCCAGCGCACAATGAGGACACTCAGTGTGCGTGATCCAGATAGAGGAGGTCCAACGCGAGACCCCAGCGGGAGAAGAAAAGCACGCAGGCCTCATCCACCCGCGCGGCCCACGTCTCCTCACCGCATCCAGTCCGCGCGAGCCCGTTCCAGCCCGCGTTCAAACCCAGCTTCCAACAGCACGCGAGGCCCATATTCGCGAGGCCCGTCATCATGCAACGCGACTAAGTGCGTGCTCCAACGCGGCTTAGTGTGCGGACAACTCTCCAGCTAGCCCAAATCGCACCAGATTCGGCCTAACGCCTGGACAGCGAGCCCAGCTCATCTAGCTCAAACACAGGTGGTCCAGCAGGGGTTCGGTCAGCCCACGGAAAGTCCGGGATGATCCAACTGGGATGGCGAGGCCTAGTCCGATCTCCAACAACGAAAATCAGAAACATTTCAGAGTCGGCAAAATTAAAAACGGTACGTGTTGAACCCTCGCTTCTAGTTCCGCGGTGCTTAGAGTTTAATTCATACTTAGTTCATAACTTGCATGATTTCAACGATCCTTACCGAGTCCCAATAGTAGTAAATGAGGCATGATATCTATCATTGCCACATGCATAGTTAGTAGTTATCGAAGTAATCCTAAACGGGCGCATTGGTTTATGGAAAAATATATCGTCAAGTATATCGTAATTGGACTAAGAATAATATGTTGGCTTACCAAGCAAACCATATGTTGCGCATGAATTACAAAGGTTCTAATTTCTAATCATACAAGAACAATAAATAAAATCTACCTCAACATTTGTGTTTACTTGTGAGGTGAAACCAACGT